CAAGGCCGTGGAGATCCTGAGAGGGGGCTCAGAGCAGGTTCCTGTGCCCGGGACCCGCTTCCTAAAAGCCCTACAAAAACAGGCTGAGCGGCGAAAATTCCCTCTCCTTATGCCCAAACCCCACTTTTAAGGCCAACGAGGAGCAGGGAGGGAGGGAAGGAGAGGGGAGAAGGGCGAGGGCACACGGAGCTGTGTCACCCCGAGAGGACAGGACGGAGCAGCAGCTCCGAGCATCCCCCCCCAAGGAATGTCTGCAATGTGATTCACCTCCCCGGCCCAAAACTTAACTTTAATCGGGATCTCCCGGCTCTCCGCCAGTGCCCGGCGGGACCGGATCCGTTGTTTGTTTTTTATCCCCCACCTTCGCCGTGTTTTTTTTTTTTGTCGTTTTTTCCTTTTTTTCCCCTCGGTCCAAAGTGCCGCGAACAAACTTTGTCCTTCACCGCGGCGGCTCCGAGCTCTGGCATTTCAAGGTCACTCGTGCAGGCCCCGCTCCAAGTTGTGCCGAGGCGGCGGCGGCGGCCGGGGGGGTCCCGGGGAGGGGTCCCGGGGGGTCCCTGGGAGGGGTCCCGGAGCCCCTCCGGGCTGCGAACCCCCCGTTCATCGCTGCTCCCCGCGCTGTCAGCGCCGCCCGTGACCTTCGGGGGGGGATGCGGGGGGGGAGGAGGGGGTGTCGGCGATAAAAACGATAACAAAGGGTCGTTCGTGCCCGCCGGGGGTCTCGGGGTGCGGGGGCACCGCCACCCCCTCCCCGGGCAAGGGCGGAGCGCGGGGGCCCGCGGCGCGGGGCACGGCAGGGAGGGCGACCCGCCGCTTTCACCCCCATCCCCGCACCCCCACGCGCCGCGGGGACCACCGGGGGGGTCACCCCGCTGTTCTCCGCGCCCCCCCAACCTCCCCCATCCCACCGGGCGCACGCAACACCGGGGCGAGCATCCCCCGCGGCGCCCGCGGCCTGCCCGCCCCCGCAGCGCGGCGCGGCGCCCCCCGGGCACTCACCGGCGGGCGGGGGGTGACGGCCATGCCCCCCGTGTGCGGCGGAGCCCCCGCGGGGCCGGTGCCGGGGGGTCCCCCCCGCCTGAGGGCCGGGCCGGGCCGAGCCCGCGTCCGCGCTAACGGCGGCGGCCCTGCGCGCCCGGCTGCGCGCGCCCGGCCCGCCCCGCGCCCGCGCCCATTGGCTGCGCGCCCCGCGGCCCCCCGCGCCCATTGGCCGATGTCTCGGCCCTCCCCTGCCGAGCCCCGCTCCCATTGGCCGCCGCCCCGGCGCAGCCTCGCCGGCCGCTTCCTGCTTCTGAAGTTACCTTGAGCGGCGGCCGCAGGGGTCAGCGCTGGCCCCGCCCCCCCGGCCCCGCCGCGCTCCCATTGGCTGCTTCCCCGCCCCCCCGCCGTTCGAACGCGCTGGTGCGGCCGCTGATTGGCCCGCCCCGCTGTCACTCTCCCAGAGGGCTCCTCCCGCCCGGCGGGTCACGGGGGCGGCGCGCGCGCGAGAGGGCGGCGGGAGCGCGCGCGGGGCCGGGAATCGTGGAATCAGGGAATGCCGGAGGAATCTGGGGCTGGACGGGCCTCTGGGCATCACCCAGTCCAGCCCCCCTGCCCGGGCAGGGCCGCCCGGAGCAGGGGACACAGGGACGTGCCCAGGTGGGTCTGGGATGCCCTCCCTGGGCAGCTGTTCCAGGCCCTGCCACCTCCATGGAAAGCAGTTCTGCCTCAGGCTGAGGTGGAACCTGCTGTGTTTTAGTTTATGGCCACTGCTCCTTGTCCTGTCACTGAACAGAGCCTGGGACCATCCTCTGCCACCCCCTGGAGATTTCTGCATGGATTGAGGAGATATTTGTGGGATTGATGGATCCCCTCTCCAGGCTGAGCAGGCCCAGCTCCCCCAGCCTCTGCTCATCCCAGAGATGCTCCAGACCCCAGAATCATCTCTGTGGCCTCCGCTGGACCTTCCCCAGCAGCTCCTGGTGGTTCTCACCCTGACACAGCTCTGGATGTGCCTCCCCAGGGCGGAGCAGAGGGGCAGGACCCCCTCCCTGACCTGCTGGTGCTCCCAGTGGGAACAGGCACATATGGAAACCACCATGGATCACACACTGCCACTCCCACGTGTCTCCAGACACCAACAAATAACCCACAGGACGAGAAAAAAAAAACAACAACAAAAACACCACAGGTTTCCTTCCAAACTCCCCGGTTTGGCAGGTCCCTGGCACAGCCCCGGATCCCTCTGGCATTCCCGGCATTCCCACCTGCAAACACCAACAATTCCCCTGCACAGCTTTAACCACACGCCAGCTTCACCCTCCCCAAGCCCCCAGCACCCCTCTGGATCGGCTGGAAAGCTGGGAATGCCGTGCTCTCCAAGCCCAAGGAGGTGTTTTTTATCCCCTGGACACGCAATTCCCAGCGGATTTCCAGCATCCCAAGGTATAATTTACTGCTTGGAAATAACGTGCCGAAGGGATTATCCCGAGGGAAAAAAATATTGGGAAGCACAGCCAAGGCTCGACTGGTCCTGCAGATGAAATCAGTTTGAAATCTGACAGCGAGGGGAGATTAATTTAAAAATAGACCTTTCCCCGGTGGTTTGGTCAATGCAAGTGGTTAAAACACGACTTTAAAATAAATAAATACACTCTGTTCTCTTCCTGTGTCATTCCTCAGATAAAAGCCTGGGCCTGGAAGCTGCGGAATTCTGACTATTGGAGGTATGTGAGGTACTTCTGGTGGTATGAAAAACAACGCCAAGCAGCCCCAGCACCTTTTCCTGCGGAGCACAGGAATGCCTGGCTGGAATTCCCACTGCCCAAACACATTCCTGTGTGCTCTGTCACATCCCAAGGACCCCCCTGTCACCCTTCTGCTCACAGGAATGTCCAGGAACAACCCAGCACAGCCACTGAGCTGCTGCTCCCAGAGTATTTAATAATTCTACGTGACAGTCAAAAACTGATCAATTTTGGGATCAGTAAAGGGCTTATTTCTGGGGGGAAAAAAACCCCACCTAAATTAATGTTGGCAAGTCCCTAAGTGAAGGGTTTATCTGTGGGGGAAAAACCCACTGAAATGATTTGGGAAGCCCTTCTGTAAAAGGGTTCATTTCAATCATTGCAGCTGTTCTTGCTCTGGAATCTCAAAGGGTTGAACCTTTCCCTGAGATCCAACCTGACCCTGCCCTGACAGAGCTCCAGCATTCCCTGAGGGCTGTCCCTGGTTGTGACATCCCACACCAGGGTGTCCCCACGACACCCAGGGACGGTACCTGGGCCCAGGCTGGAACAGAGCCCGGATCACCTGAGGACAGACAGACCCAGCAGGAATAGCCCAGTCCAAAAACAGCACCTAATTTAAAGAGGACACAGATAAACCTAAGAAAAGACACGGGATGTTGCCAAGGGCAACGGCAGCCAGGGATGTCGGATGGCCCAGGAGGGAAGTTTTGTAGAACTGGAAGGAAAGGGAACCACCCTGGAACACAGCTCAGCCACCACGAGAGCCAACACTGTCACCCCCACTGTCCTGTACCCCCAACCAGCCCTGAGCCCCCCAAACCTGCCCAGGTAACGCTGCAGCTGGAGAATGAACCGGCCCCAGTGAAATCCCACCAGGCCAAAAGAATTCCCTCTGAATGGGAATGGTTTGGGTTGGAAGGGAAGTTAAAGATCACAGAGCTTCACCCCCTGCCACGGGCAGGGACACCTTCCACTGGCCCAGGCTGCTCCAAGCTGGCCTTGGACACCTCCAGGGATCCAGGGGCAGCCACAGCTTCTCTGGGCAACCTGTGCCAGGGCCTGCCCACCCCAGGGGTCCCGATCCGGTCCCGGTTCCCCCCGATCCGATCCCGATCCGGTCCCGGTTCCACCCCCGGGCCGGGCGCGCGCGGGACAACGGTCCGCTCGCAGTCCCCTCCGCGGTCCGCTCCGCGCCGCCCAATCAGCGCCCGGCCCGTCCCGCCCGCCTCCCCCGCGCGGGCCAATCAGCGCGCGCGCCCGTTGGGGTGGAAGGGAAAGGGGGCGGGGGAGCCGCCCCCGCCCCGCGCCCCCTCACGGGCCGTCCCCGCGCCGCCCTCCCCGCGCACTCACCGGGGCGGCCCGCGCCGCGACCTCCCGCTGCTCCGCGCGGCGCCCGCGCTGCCTCCGGCGCGGCTCGGCGGCGGGAGGCGGGAGGGGAAGGAGGCTCCGGGTGTTGGGGTGGAGGGGTGGGGGGGGGCGACCGGAGCGGAGTGAGCGCCCGGCGGCCGAGAAACAAGATGGCGGCGGGGCCGTGAGGCGGAGGCTCCGCCCCCTTCCCCCCTCCCGCCTCCGCGGGCCGCGGCGGGCGCGTGACCCGGCGGAGATCTCGCGAGAGCGGCGGGGGCGGGAGCGGGAGGGGCCATGGCGGGCCCGGCGTGAGGGGAAGGGGAGCGGCCGAGCCCTGAGGGGCGGACAGAGCCTCTTCCTTGCACAGATCCGTCCTGTCCGGCGCCCCTGCGGGCCGCGCCTCCCGTCAGGTCTGTCCCAGGTGTTCCCCAGCCCGCCTTCCAGGTTTTTCCTTTGTAAAACGAGCAGGTGGCGCTTCGCTTCGTGAAGCGTGCTTGTAATAAATTGGGTGGTGGATAAATCCATGAAGAGAGTGATGAGCATCTTCCAGGCCAGAATTTGGCATATTCTGGGGAGTTTTAAAGGGTTTTTTGTAAATGGTATAATAATAAAAATAATAATAATGTTTGACATAACAATCATTTGGATTTGTGTTTCAATAGTAATAATAATCGATTAAATAGGTAGTAACTGGATTGACCCAGTGAATCCCATTGTATGGTGTAACTATACATGCACACAAAAGGAAAATAACTCGTGTCACTGCACAAATCTGGTGCACCACGGAGTTCTGGCTGTTCACGTCCTTGGGGGGGAAATGTTACTGAAATAAATAGATAAAGTAATTAGAGATCCTTTCCCTCTCCTTGAGCAGAGAGTCAAGGCAGCTGCTCTTCAGAAAAAAAAAAAAACCTAACAGACCCAAAAAGCCAAAGAGGGCTTTATTCCCACACTGCTGCATTAGCCATGGTAGTCCCAGGAACCACTGGAATCATCCACACCTCTAACAGATGAGTTGCTTTAATTAAAAGAGCAGGAAAATAGCAGTTTCCTAGTAGGGTTTTTTTGCCATTTCCATAGTTTTTTTGCCTCGCTGTACAGTCATGTAACAACAGCTCTGCTTGACCAGGATGGCACTGGCAATGAGGCTCCTCAGCCCTGCCCTCCCTGAGCCTTTTGGGCTCACCCAGGGACACTTCCAGCCCTGCTGTCACAGCCCTGAGAGCTGTCCAAGTTCAACCTGGCTGAGCTGTCCGAGGGCTCGGATCCATCAGCACAGGATGACTTTCTCCTGCCACCCTGGAGCCGGTTCAAGCAAAAGTCTGTGCTCTGCTCCAGCCAGCTCTCCCATTCCCAGGGATGGCTTTGCTGGCTCCAGGACATGGCACACTGAGGGGTGACTCATCCTGCTTCGGGATTTTTCCCATGAAAAAAAAAAAAAAAATCACTTCTCCTTGGAAGCGACTCCACCTTTGCCTCCTTACTGTCTTTCCCGTGCCCAAATTTGCACCTAGAAAGGTTTCTTTTTTTTTTTATGTGATTTTTAAATCAAGTTTTTCATGATGTAAAATCATCATGTGTCGCTTTTAAACATCGTTTGAGATGGGAAAGGACAGTCAGGGGCTGCACTCCCAGTTCACCCTTCCCAAAACCGCTGGGGCACTTTTCTGGCACGGTGGTTCGCTGTGCTAGAGGATGAAATCCCTCCTGCATCCCGCAGTCCCTGCATCCCACGGGCACAGGGGAGGTGGGATCTGTGGCTTCTGCCCCGTGATTTTTGCCCGGCTGCAGGAGATGGCACCGAGCGGAGCGCGGCCACCCCGGGGGCTCCGAGCTGGCACCGCGGGGGGAAATGCCTTGCAGCGAATTCCTGCCGTTTTATTGGGAGCCTTGCAACTCAGGGCACTTGCAAGGCAGCCAAGAGAAATAAAAGTCAAAGAATCATGGAGTGCTTTGGGTTGGAAGGGACATTAAGGATCACCCAGTCCCACCCTCTGCCATGGGCACACCTTCCACCAGCCCAGGTTGCTCCAAGCCCTGTCCAACCTGGTCTCGGACACTTCCAGGGATGGGGCAGCCACAGCTTCTCTGGGAAATCCATTCCAGCCCCTCACCACCCTCATGGCTGCTACAGTTTGGGTTTTTTTTTAATTCCCTAATTTCTGAGCCACCCTCCCACTGCAGCGTCGAGGGCGACGATCCCCAGCACCTCCCTTCAAAATGCCTCGTTTGTAAATCAATTAACCAGCCCTGCTGCTGACAGTGCTGCCAGGCCCAGCTGCCAAACCACCCAGCTGTTCCTCCTGCCAGGATCCAGCCCCACTCCAGGGATTTCTGGACAATCCTCCTCCCGCTGGATCCCTCTGTGCCTGTGACGCTCCGTTTCCTCCCCACCTGCTCCCTGGGCAGCAATGGATCCATTGTCTGGAGCTGCTCAGCTTCCCCAGAAGGATCCCAGCGAACACAGAGCTCCCTGTCAGCCTGCCCAGAGCATGGAGGAGCCAAGGAAAACAAGAAAGAGGGGAAAAAAAAAAAAAAAGGAAAGGAGAAAGTGCTTTTCCACTTGGCTTTATCGGCGCTTGCATAAATCTGGTGGTGGCTCGTTGAGTTTGCGCTTCCCCAGCACCTGCCACCTGCTCAGCTGATCCCTCCCACGCTCCCCGAGGAGCTGTGCTGCTCCAACTGCACCCCAGGGCCGGATTTGGGAGGGCTGGATTTGTTTGACACTGAGGAAAATCGTCTCTCAGAGCAGCAGGGACTGGCCTGGCCCTTCCCAGCTCAGCCCCCGCCATCCCCCGGGACTCCCGTTCCAGCAGGGCTCTGGACTCATCCCAAACAAGCTGTTGCTCTGGGGCAATAATCCACAAGCAAAGGAAAAACTGGATTTAAATTGTTTATGGATATGGACACCCTGCCTGGTAGATTTTGGGGAAAAGTAGGCTCTTTAAGGCCAGATTTTGGGGCCCATTTTTTCCCTGACCCTTTGTGCCACATCCCACCTGGTGCCTCTCCGAGTTGGGGACCATCCCTGTGATAAATTTAAGGATATTTAATAAGAGTGTTTATCTGCCTGGACACAGATTTTTGAAGCCCCTGTAGAAACCTCATCTCTGCTTTGAAATGAAACCCCAGAAAGATAATTTGACTCGGGAGAGAGGACGGTTTGGGAGTTTCCAGAGGGCTCCTTGGGAAACCAAAAGGCCTGAGGGAGGACAGGGATGATCCAGTGCCAGCCCTGGGGCTGTGGGTCACCTTTTGCACTCGGGTAGTTTGAGGTTTGAACCCAGAGCAGAGATGCTTTTACCTTTCCTGATCAGAGCCAGGACAGCTCCAGGACCTCCTGGGCAACCTCAGAGTCCCCTGGGAAGCTCCAGGATGCCCCAGAGCAGCTCCAAGACCATCCAGACAGCCCCAGGACCCCCGAAATTCCTACCTCTTCCCTGTGTTTCTGCTGCCCGTTCCACCCACCTCTCTCCAGGCCAAGCAGGATCCGCAGCACATGTGGAAATGCCCATCCTGCCCCAGGGAGAGGCAGCACGTGGCACCCCTGGAGGCTGCAGGTCACCCTGGCAGGGACACCGTGGTTTGGCTCAGCTTACAAAGCCTCTCCCGGGCTCCCCGCTCTCCCACATCCAGCTCATCCCCATCCACGTGCTGCCCGGAGCCCCTGCAGTGCCGTGAAGCCGAGCCCTGGGAATCCTCTTACGGGGCTTTTACCGCCATAATCGCATTAAACCACCCCCTTTGGGCCGGCACGGACCCAAAAGGTAAAGGAGAAGGTGCTGAGGAGCCGGCAAAGAGGCCGGAGAGCTGAGCTCCTTAAGGGATTTAGAGACATGAGAGGTGGGAGAGCTCTGATGGGATCCCAGCACACAAGGCCAAACCTGGGGGGGTCCTGCCCGAGGCACTTCCCGAGGGATCAGTGCCAGAACCTCCTCAGATCTGCAGGAACAAACCACCGAGTCCCATCCCGGCGTGAGGCTGGTGATCCCGGAGCAACCTGCTAGGGGAAGCAGAAAACCAAAGTCAGGCAAAAAACTTCCAAAGGAATTATTTCATCATTGCCATGAAACTTCCTGTTTTATCGTGGAAATGTGGCAGTTGGGGAAAAAAAATGCGAGGAGACTCTTTTCAGTGGCTGAGGCGCGTGTTTTCACTATCTCTTCCCCCCAAACAATGCGTTCCCAGGGCTGACACTTTCTCCGCAACGCTGGAAGTTTGCTTTGATGGAACAGGCTCCCCTACGGAGAGATTTTCGGCTGGTTTTCCTGAGTATTCCTCACAAAGGCTCCTCTGGACAACCTCTCTCCTCCCTGAGTTTGTTTATATGCTTTGAACCCTGTTAGGAAACCATCTCCCTACTTCAGCGCTGTTTTATCCAAGTTTCCATATTTAGTTCTTTCAGCTATTCCTGTTCCTCACCAGCTTTCCCGTGCACAACCCGCCACATCCCAGTTTTTCCCTGTCCTTCCCCTCCAGCAGCTGCCACAGGGGGGGAATTTTTTCCCCCCGTGCTCCCCGCACCGATGGTTTGAGCACCCCGCTCACCCTGGGCACACGATCCCAAAGCAGTCCCCACACCCTGACCCTGAACTCAGCGAGGGCCGAGTGGTTTCCCGCGGCCCCAGGTGTGGGGTGGTGGTCCTGGGACCCCTGGCATGGTGGGGATGGGGAGCCTTCCCACCGGGAAACCCAAGGCTGGCAGTGTTTGAGGGAGGGACAGAGTTAAAAGGCGGTGAAGGAGGGTTTTCCTCCCGGCACGTGGCTCCATGTCAGCCGCGGTGCGCAGCCGGCAGAGGCAACGCAGGGAAAGCACTGGAGGAATTTACCAGGAGTAGAGGAGACGCTGCTCGGAGGGAAATTGGTGTTTGCATCCAGGGAGCCAAGGTGAGTCCAAGGGCAGCGCTGGGAATCGCTGCCTCCCCCTGCTCCAGACCCCTCCTTCGCAGGGAACCGGGGCACCGGCAGTGCCCCCTCGGTCCTGTCCCCCTGGGAGGGCCACGCTCGTGCTCCGGCATTCCCAAAGGATTTGTGCATTCCCAAAGGAGCTCTGTGGACACCCAGCTCAGCAGGATGGGCTGGCAGCGCTGCAGGTCTGCCCTGAGCCCTCTGGGGACACTGAAGGCTGGCTGAGGGGTCTGGGGTCTGCATGGGGACACTCGGGGTCAAGGGGACAGCAGGAGGGGCTGGCCAGCAGCTCTCCAGGTCCAGCTACGAGAGAAGGGTAGGTGGCAGCTCTGGAGTCCAACTGGTGGGTGTAGGGTCCAGCTGGAGGTCTTTGGGATCCGTTTGATGGGTGTAGGGTCCAGTTGGAGGCTCTTGGGGTTTGGTTAATGGGTGCAGGGTCCATCTGGAGGCTCGTGGGGTTTGTTTGATGGGTGCAGGTTCTGACTGATGGGTGCAGGTTCCACCTGCTGGCTCTTGGGGTTCCCTTGATGGGTGTAGGATCCAGCTGGTGGCTCTTGAGCTCTGGATAATGGGTCTAGAGTCCAGCTAATGGGTGTAGGGTCCAGCTGGAGGCTCTTGGGGTCCAACTGATGTGTGTGGGATCCAATTAAAGGGTGTAGAGTCCGAGTGATGTGTGTAGGGTCCAGTTAAGGGTCTAGAGTCCAGTTAATGGGTCTAGGGTCCAGTTGATGTGTGTAGGGTCCAGCTGGAGGCTCTTGGGGCCCAAATCACGGATGCAGAGTCCAGTTTATGGCTGTAGGTCCATCTGGATGCTCCGGGGTCCAGCTGGCAGGTGCAGGATGCTCCCATCCGCCCTCAGGCTCCACCTGATGGATGCAGGGTCCCGCCACCGCCTTTGGGGGTCCGGCCGGCAACTCTCCCCGCGCATCCTTTGGGGGGTCACCGGGCAGCCCCGGCCCGACCCCTCGGTGGGTACCGGCCCCTCTCCGCGCCGCCCGGGCCGTCGGGGCCGGGCCCGGGGCTCCCCCGCCCGCCGCTCCCAGCAGCCCGCCGGGGCCGAGGGGAGGAGCGGGCACGGGCGGCGGCGGCGGCGGCAGCGGTGAGTGAGTGCCCGCGGGGTGCGGTGCTCCGGGCACCGCGGCAGCCCCGGGCACCGCGGCCACACCTGCCCCGCAGCATCCCCCGCCCGCGGCCGGGAAGCGGGAGCGGTGGGGTTGGTTATTTGGTTTTTTGGGAAGGGCTGGGCGTGGGGGGGTGGGATGCCGGTCGCGGATGCGGTGCCGGGGGTAGCAGCGGGATGGGCGCTCCGGGAGAGGGGAGGAGGTGGGAAGAGGGATCCTGACCGCCCTGGGGAGAAACGCGGTGCTTCCCGCCTCGCAGCCCGCGGCTGCCGCCGAGGCACCCCTGAAACATTGCCCGGGCGCTGAGCGGGGATGCGAACACCCCAAAACCAGCGCTGCGCCGAAAGCAGGGGGGAGAGGGGTGGGTGCTGCGGCCGCGCTCCCCTCCGTCCCAACCCAAAGAGCTCCGGTGAACCGGAGCCCTCCCCGGTGCGGGGCGGGCGGGCAGCGCTTCCCGGCCGGCGGCTCGGCAACGGGAGCGCTTTCCCGTGCCATCCATCATCCCCGCTGAAAGCCCGTTGACGTCAAGCCCGTCCCGTGCCCGCCGGTCCCCACGGCCGGGAGAACGGGGAGAGGGACCCGGAAAGCCGGGAGGGGGTGTGGGGGGGGTTCCTGCCGAGGGTCTGCCCCCGGGCACCGTCCTCGCCCCGAGCGGCTCGTGTGCGGCCAGGACTCACCTCGTCCCGGGCTTCCCGGCGTCTCCAGCCTGGGCTTCGGGGATTGGTTCGCCTCTCGCTCCATCCCGGCAGTCCGTTCCGCTCTCCGTGGTGTTTGGGGCAGGTGCCCTGGTCGGTTCTGTAGGGAAATGTGTGAAGGAGCTGGTGAGGGAGAGGGAAACAGTGCCTGGGGATGGGCAGAGACCCCTGCGCTGCTCCCTCTTGCTGTGACCGGGGTGACAGGGAGTGGGGAGAAGCCCGAGGGCAGTGTGGGCATCACTCATCCCCTGGCACCCCAACAGGCACAGGCCTGGCACCATCGTGTCCCCACCGTGTCCCCCTTCTGCTCTGCGCCTCAAAACGGTCCCCAGGGCCACCGTGTGGGAGCTCGTGGTGGTCCCCACGGGAGGTGATGGCTGTGGTGGGCTCTGTGCTGGTCAGTGCCCACTCCTGGGAGGCTGGGAAATACAGCAAGGCTCCCAAGGCTGAATCCCGTCCCTTGGTGCCCAGGGAACATCCCATGGGCTGTGCTGCTCCTTTCAATAGTGTGCTGAGAGTGGGAGGCTGTGGATCCCCCCCGAGCCAGGGGTGCATGGCTGGGCTTGGCTTGCAGGCCAAAGCCAGGCTTTGCTGCCAGGCACAGCAGCCCCAGGGTCCTCCCTCTGCCAAGGGGTGTGGGACCACCTGCCCAGCCCAGCCCAGCCCCTTCCCCCGTGGCTGAGTGGCTGCTCTGCCCCTTCACCTCCAGCCCCACTTTGGTGTGTGCCCGTTTCTCTCTGCACCAACACCTCCCCAGAGCCACTCCTGCTGTGCTCACACTTCTCTCCCCGTGTACCTTCTCCCACATCCTTTTGTGAGGGCAGACTCCTGCCACCTCCCACGGCCCAGCACTCCGAGTTCCTGCTTCTTCGTCCCCGTTCCAGCCCCGTCCTCGCAGCGCAGCCTCTGTGGGACAGGGACAGAGGATGAGATTGGGGCATCTTGGTCTCACCCTTGCTTGGCCCCTTTCACCCCAATTCAGGGGGAAAATCCCCTCTAGCCTCCACCTCACACACACCCCCCCCAGTCCACCCCCCCTGAGCTCTGTGGGCTCTCGCTGCAGCACAGCCCTCCGGGAAGCATCACATGGATACAAGATGCAGTTTAAGGTGATGAAAATCCCTAATTTCCCTGCTTATTAAAACCCAAGCCGTGCGGCACCAGCTCCTTGCATCCCCTGTCAACGCACTTAAAATGTTTTGTCACAGCTTCTCAAAGAGCAGGAAAACAGCCTTGTTAAGGAATTATTGTGAAGTGATTTGGCTCCAATTGACAGCCCTGCTGACACTCCGTGTTCGCTGCCTCGGGGGCTCCTTTCCTGCCCCAGGATGCTGTGTTGGGTGGTGGGGGGAGCCTCTCCAGGCTCCTCATCCTTCCTGCAGAAAAGGGGACTCCTGGAGCTGGAGGTCTCAGCCTGAAAATGGGGAATTGCCCTGGCTTTGGTTGTTGGAGCAACGCAAGAGCTTTTGGCCTTGTCTTTGGTCGCATCGTGCATCACCCTCCTCCCCAGCCATGGCAGCAGGGAGCAGCACCTCGCTGGGATCAGCTGCTCCGTGGTCCTGCAGGGAATCAGGTGCTGGTGGCACCCCAGGGTCCTGCCCCAGCTCCTCGTGCCGGGTCGGCTGCAGAGGTGGCGGAGCGAGGGGTGTTTGCCGCAGGCTCCCGCTGCCTCCTGGCATCGCTCCGGCTCTCCGAACTCTTCCTGTGGCAAGCAACTTTTCTGCTGATCCCTGAAGAAGCTTTGGAATAATAGTGCAGTCTTAGCATTTAAAAAAGAGCAACTTTTTCTGCAAACAAACCTGCACCCCCCACCCTCCTCCCCGGCTCCTGCTGGGCTCCGGAGCGAGCTGGGACCTGCGGGCTGGATGCGGCTGGGCCGGGCAAATCAGATCCAGGCAGGCAGGGTTTGGGCTGTTGGCACGTCCTGCTGATGGACATGGAATTGGGGGTGCCATGGAGGGTGTGGGTGGGTTTGGTCACCCGTCCTGGAGCTGCTGGTTTGGCCCTGGGGACATGCTGGGCATCGCCTGCAGTGAGCGGGCACGAGCAGCCAGGGGTGGAATCTGGTCAGTCCCTGAGGGGACTCCAGAGCTCTTGGCCCCTGTGGGATATGAAGCTCCTGGAAGGCAAAGGGATAATTGCCAGTGCAGAACAGGGAGGGAAGGGGGGACTGCTGGGTGCTGGCCACTGGTGGGGGGGGGGAAAGGAAATCAGATGTTGTGTATGAGGAGCGCTGGTAGGAGCAGCAGAAAGCCAGGGCTGATAGCAGTCCTTCCCCTGGAGGAAGCAGCTCCATGAAATATTGATGGGATTCACACACAGCAGACGAGCTGTGTGAGCTGCATTGCAGAGCTGGGAGCCGTGCAGCCGGAAAGGCAGCGGCAGCTGGGTAACGGGAAAAGCTCCTTCCCACATCCCCTCCTTCCCACATCCCCTCCTTCCCACATCCCCTCCTTCCCACATCCCCTCCCTGCCAGAGCAGACCGGTCCCGGTGCCCTCAGTGCCCGAGCACCAGGCGAGGGGGGGGTTGGGATCTGAGCAAGGTGATCCCATTCCCGGCCCGTCTCCGGGGGCCACCGAAGACCCTGGGCTGGTTTCTTGCGTCCCTGTTGCCTCCCCATGGAGTTGTCCCAGATTTTGGGGGCCACGTGGCTGCTGGTGGTGGCCACGCGCCGGCTCGTGCGTGTCCCTGCCCCGTCCCAAGCGTGGCCACCGCCAGCACCAGGGCACAGCCAGAGCAGGGGCTCCGAGCTCAGCCTTGGGCTCCCGGTCCATGGTGGGATCAGTCCGGATCACCAGGGATGCCCCCATGCTCAGGGCAGTGCCACCAGCACCCCTGGCTCTCCCGGCCGGCTGGGCCCAGCAGGACCCTGCTGTCCCCCATCCCTGGCCCTGCCGGGTGGCTTTTGCTCCTCTGATTCCTTCCCGTTGCCTGGGAAACGATGGGATGCGGCAGGGATCTGATTTGCCCGGGCAGCAGACGTCACACAGGGACAGGGGGGAAAAGGACAGCGCGGTGTCAGAGCTCCTGCTGCCTCAGGAGGGGGCTCTGCCCCAAATCCGGCCACCAGGCAGGCTCAGACGTGCATGGCCCTGGATTCCTCACCTGTCCCACCCCCCAGTGAAAGGTGGCCATGAGGTGGCTGTGGGAAGATTCCATTTCCTGCCTGTCCCACTGGAAAATGCTTGGTTCCCCATCCTGGTGCCCCTGGATGGATCCCATCTTCCAGGAGCGTCACTTCTGCTGGAGCTGTGGCAGCCAGCCGTGTTCCCAGTCCATCCCTGTGCAGGAGCAGCTCGGAGGAGAGCACCTGGAGCAGGCCCAGCTGCTCCCAAGCTGCAGGAATACCATCCCACCGCTTATCCCAGAAGAGATGTGGTGCATTGCCTGGCAGAGCTGGTCTGCCTGGAACCACCTCTCCACCCACACCACGACCTCCAGCACTTCCCATCCCGATGGAAAACCTGTGGCTGCTGCAGACAGACCTGCTCCCACCCAAGCACCTACCTTTTTGGGGAATCATCCAGACTGGAGGATGCTGTGGGATTTCCCCTATGGCCCTTCCTCCTCTTCTTCCTCCCAGGCACAGACTCACTAAACCTCACTCATCCAACAGCCAGGCCTTTTCCAGGAGCAGGACTCCTGTGGGACCCCTGAGCACAGCCCCAGCCAACCCTCTCCCCTCCATGCTCCACTTCTCCTACAGCTGGAGCACACTTGGACCCATCCTTTAATTCCCAGGTTTCTGTTTCCCATGGAGCTGGTGTTCCAGCCAGGATATAACTTTTATATCCTGCCTGAGCCAATAGATGCTTAATTCCAGTACCTGGAGTTACTTCCTAGTTCTCAGCTCACGTGCACCCAATTACACCCCTTGTTGGGCAATTAAATTTATATGAGCAACTGCCTATCAGAGCTGAAGCGATTAATTAGAATTAAGTGCTTTTAGGGGAAATAAGCCCTTGCCTTATTCCCAAATACAAGGAGGAGCGTGTCCATGTGAGCTGTGCTGCTGTGGCCTGCCCTGGTGTGTTGTGCCTGCTCAGGACTGGCAGGGCCTCAAAGTGGCAGCTCTAGCAAGATTTTTTTTTTTTCCCCCCAAAAAAGGCTGATTTTAGGACCTACCTGCTCCAGACACCAGCAGTTTGCAGTGCTCTCCCTCCAGGCTCGAGGCAGCCCCAGCACAGGGGTCTGGGTGAAAGAAGAACCTGCTGCCCCACTGCCAGGGGTTTCCAACCCTGAATCTCCCTGGGAACACCTACCCCAAGGGAGGAGGAGACTGTCCCAAAATCCCTCTGCCGCCTTCCCTGGCAAGGCAGCATCCCAGCCACCCCCACCGTGCTCATTTATCACCTCCTCCTCCTCCTCTCCCCACCCACTGTCAGGAGCCCTTTCCCACCTGTGTGGGGGCACCTGCCGGGCTCCTCCCTCCTTCTCCAGGGTCTTTTCCAAAGCATCAGTTTCCCCCATCAACATCTTGCCCCTCGTTTCTGTTCCTGTGGAATATTTGGGGCCAGGGCTCCCTCAGAGCCCCAGGTTGTTCCTTTCCACACCTGGCACTGTTGGGTCACTGGGATCCATCCACTGCTGGGGTCACCTCTGAACCCCCCACCCTCCATCCCCACTTTTCCCACCGTCACCAGCAGCTCCACGACATCCGTCCTCAGGGATTCAGTGGGATCATCAGACACCCAAACCCTGGCACGGGGATGCCCCCCAGCCCTGCCAGGGCACATCCCACCCCGCTGGACCACTGTGGCCCTGCTCGGGGCTGGCAGGAGAACTGGGTCAGCCGTGTAACCATGGAGATGCCGAGGGAGATGCTGAAGCAGCGCCAGCACAGCCCCGGCTCTCCAGAACCCTGGAAAGATTCCCCAGCCCTGGCACCGGCCGCGTCCGGCCGGGATGGGGCTGGGAAGCTGAGCTGAGCCTCCTCCGGGCACAGGGCGGTAAGATGCCCCCATCTCCTCTTCTTTTTCTTTTTTTTTGGGGTGCCATGAGCGGGGAGGGCCGAGCCCCGCCGGGGTTCCTGCGCCGCAGCCGCGATCCAAACGCAACAGGGAGCCGGTTTTCCTGCCGGCTGTGCCCATCCCTGCCTTGTGCTGCGCGTCCGGGGGATGCCACAGCCATGACGCCTCTCCCGGGGGCTCGGCCGGTGCGCGGGGGCTCCGCGCATCCCGCAGCCATCCCAGCCGCGGGGGGAGCCGGGGCTGGCTCGCTGGAGAGAACTTCCCGGCGCTGGCGGTGGCGGTCGTTTCCCGCAAGGACGGTGCGTGGCGGGGGTAAGGACTGCTCCCACCCCCGGGGAGCTCGGGAATGTGTTCCCGCGGCAGGGGAGGAGGGGGCTCGGATGCGGCGTCGCGGTTGTTTGCTCGGAGAATCCCGGTGTTTTGTGATACAGGGAATAAATATGCGGACGGGAGCGGGGTGGTTGGGAGCTTAGTGTGTGAAGGGAAACCTGGTGCCATTCCCTGAATCCCTGCGCGTTTCTTGGGGAAAGGGAGCTGGAGCTGAGGCAGCAGCAGGGCTGCGTGTTCACCAGCAGGCTGAGGATGCTGTGGCCATGCTGAGGGTGCTGTGGTGGTACCAAGGATGCTGTGGCCATGCCAAGGATGCTGTGGCCATACCAAGGATGCTGTGGTCATGCTAAGGATGCTGTGGCCATGCCAAGGATGCTGTGGCCATGCTGAGGATGCTGTGGCAGGGCCAAGGATTCCGTGGCCGTGCCAAGGCCGGCTCAGCGGTGGGAGCCACAGGCTCCAGCACTCAGCCACGGTCCCCAGCCCAGCACCGAGCACCAGGCACCCCCTTTCCCCCCCACCCAGCACCTGCTCTGTGCAGAAGCAGACTGTGCAAAGAGATGAGGGGTAAAATCACGGGCAGGGTGAGGAAAATCCTTCCCCCGGGCCGGGGAGCGCACGCTCCGCTCCCCTCCCCTCGCAGCGGATTATCCTGTGTGTGTTGCATTGGAAATGATCCCATTAGCGCTGTGCTCTCCTGATCTAATTTGCTCCCACCAGAGCCTGGCGCTCTCCAGGGCGGTTGGAGCGGGAAACAGCAGCAGGAAGGGGCCTCCTGTGCCTCCCTGGCCCTGCAGAGGATGGGGTTTGCTCATGCCGGGGATTTCTGACCCCTGGAGGGGCCTGGGCTGGGCTGGGCCCTCTGCACAGGGACCTGTGTTTGTTTGGGCACTGCCAGGTTTGCCAGTGGGGACACTGAGGCCCCGGGAGGTGGTGTGGGCCTGATGGGAGGTGGTGCCTGGGGGCACCAGGCTGTGCCTGGGGGAGTGGTTGGGATTCATTCCCTGCGGCAGGTGCTGCCTGAGGGAAGGCTCGGTGGTGGCAGCGAGTTTGGAGCTGGAGCGTGCCTGGAGAGCGGCGGGTGGCGCTGGAAGGTGTTCATCCCAAATGTCCCAAAGGCAGCAGCTCAGCCCTGACTCCTCCTAGGACAGGAGCTGCTCTCTCCTGGCTCGGCTGCCATCGGCACATGGCTGTGCCAGGGCTGCTCCAGAGCTGGGGCTCACCCCACACTGACAGCTTTATCCAAAGGGATCCATCCCTCTGGAGCTGGGGCTGACCCCACACCAGCAGCTTTATCCGAGGGGCTCCTGTGCCAGTGTCAGTTCAGCAGCACAGACAGAGAACCCCACGTGCCCAGCAGGGGAGGCCGATGCTGTGCTGAACCCCAACCCTTGCCCAGTGCAGGGGGCCGTGCCAGGGTCCTGCTCCGTGATGAACCCCCTGGGCACAAGGAGTGTGGGGGGTGAGGGCCATGGGTCAGTGCCACGTGCTCGCCCAAGGGAGCCTGGGCAGGAAAACAGCCCAGCCAGGAGGGTGCTCTGGGAGCTCATTAATGGCATTAATGACTAATTGCCCACTTGCCCCCACGATTGATAAATTGAGGAGTTCAGCAGGGCTGGAGCTGCGCCCGCGGCTCCCGCAGGGTCTCACCCCAAGTGTGCCCCCTGTGAACCCTTCCTGCAATGGCAGAGGGCAGCAGAGCCCCCTGCCCGCCCCCCTGCCCAGCCCCAGCTCCCCTGCGCTCATGTCCATCTCTCTCTCTCCAAAGGGAAATATTTTCCCAGGCGCTGCCTCCATCCATTATCATAAAGTGGCTTCACTTGGCCTGCAGTTAATAATTCACCTTTCCTCGGAAGATGGATGCTCCACGCCGCTGGAGTTTAAATATTCATGGGGAAGGGAAGGCAGCAGGGCCGTGCAGGAGGGCTGGCACAGCCTCTGCCACCTGCAAATGCTCCGGTGCCCCCGGCACCTCCAGCCTCTGGCTGCTCCAGGGATTCCCATCCCGAGGTGGAGCAGGCTCAGCTGGGGCAGCACACAGGGATGCTGCAGCCGTGGTTTGGAGAGGGAGAGCTTGGCAGGGCGCAGTTTTGGGCGCTCTCAGGGGTGGGTGGGGCTGTACTCAAAGGTCCCCTCGTCCCAGTCCAGGCGGGTTGGTGACACTCTGAGCCTTCTGCTCGTCCAGGTCTCTTCTGGATGTTGGGAGTGCCCACCCCATGATCCAGCTGCATGGGGGTCCTGCACCGCTTCTTGTGCCAGCCCTTGTTCCATGGGTGGGAAAAATAGAATATCCTGAGCTGGAAGGGACCCCCAAGGACCATCCAGTCCAACCCTCGGCCCTGCACAGACACCCCAACAATCCCACCCTGTCCCTCAGAGCGTTGTCCAAACCCTCCTGGAGCTCTGGCAGCCTTGGGGCTGTGCCCACTGCCCTGGGGAGCCTGTTCAGTGCCCACCACCCTCTGGGGGAAGAACCTTTCCCTGAGATCCATCCCAACCCTCCCCCGGCTCAGTGGGCTGAACTCCGTGGGTTTGTGGGTGCCTCGGGGGCCCATCCACCCCCACGGGGCTGCTCTGGGTGCGACAGCAGCGACACAGCTGGTGCCACCACCCCGTGCTGCCACCCCTGACACATCCCCTGCCTTGCCCCCGCAGCTGATCCCACGGAGCGGGGCCGGGGCCGGCGGGCGCGCAGCGGCTGACCATGTTCAACGGGGATGCCAGCTCCGTCACCGGCTCCGTCACCGGCTCCATCTCCAGCTCCATCTCCAGCTCCATCTCCGGCTCCATCTCCAGCCCCATCGCCGGCCCCATCGCCGGCCCCATCGCCAGCTCCTCGGCGGCCAGGAATGTGGTGCGCAGCTCCAGCATCAGCGGGGAGATGTACAGCCTGGAGAAGAGCGCGCGGGGCAGCGCCGACTCCGTCACCGTCACCGCCAGCAAGAAGAGGCGCTCCAGCCTGGGCGCCAAGATGGTGGCGATCGTGGGGCTGTCCCAGTGGAGCAAGAGCACCCTGCAGCTCAACCAGACTGGTGAGCAGCTCGGCCCCCGGGCCCTGCTTTGTTTTCAGAGGGGTGCCCTGGCCTGAGTGCCCCCCTCCCTGGTTACACCCAGCCCTGGCTGTGGGCAGGGAGGGGAGCTCGGAGAAAGGACTTGTCAAACTCTGGGAAACATTGAAAAGCTTAAAATAGCCGTTTGAGGGGCGGGGGAAGCACAAAGCTCATTTTAGTGCAGGCTTTTCCTCTAGTTACTGCTTCTTTATCCTGCTGCTTGTTGGCATCCCATGATCTGGGAAATGCTCTGGGAGGAGGAGTTGATGCGGAGCCCTCCAGCCATCTGAAGTGGTTCTGGAGGGGTTTAATTACCCCCAAAAGCCAAGCAAAAAAAAGTGTGGGAGCCACGGAAGGGGGCATGGCAGGACGGGACCCTCCGGCTGCCGGTGCCCGGGGGGAGCTGCCAGGAGCAGGCAAACCCTTCCATGGGGACAGCCCGGAGCCAGCAGGACAAACCTGGCTCCTCCAGAGCGGTGCCAGCACACACATGGGCACACAGCAGGGGCCAGGGGCAATGCCAGGGGAGGCTGCTCGTGCCACCCTCCTCCTCCTGCCATCTGCCACCACCTGGGACACGGGCAGCGTGGAGAAAGGGGGACATCGATGTCAGGCCCTGGGGGTTCCTGTCCCCTCTGGCACAGGGACATGGGGATTTTGGAGGTCAAGGCGGTGGTCTGGGACAGTGCCAGCACTTGGGAGCTGAGCCTGGAAGGTCTCAGCAGAGGAAGGGGAGTGTCTGGGATGCAGGGGGGGACACGTTTGGGGCCCAGGGGGTACCTGGGGTGCAGGGGGGATTCTCAGCCACGCAAAGCCATGGTGATATTGGTGCTGAGGGCTGTGGGAGGTGGATTTGGGGTCACGGGCAGCCCGTGGCTCTCCAGCATGGCACGTGGGGCACCAGGGCATGTGGGGGTCCTGGGGGGCTTCATCCCTAGGGAAAGGCTCATGGCTCCTGGTGGGTGAGGTGCAGAAGGAAGGCAGGGAGCCACACGCAGGGAGGGGCGGGTGCCAGGGCTCACCTCCTGCCTCCCCTTCCAGAGGGGGGCCCCAAAAAGCTGCGCAGCACCATCCGGAGGAGCACCGAGACCGGCATCGCGGTGGAGATGAGGACCAGGGTGACCCGGCAGGGCAGCCGGGAATCCACCGACGGCAGCACCAACAGCAACAGCTCGGACGGCACGTAAGGCACCTGCGGGGGGCGAGGGGAGCGGGGCTGGGCACCCTCCTGGGGCGCCGGGGCTCGCTCGGCACCGGCAGCCGGATGATGCTCCATCGAAGTCCTTTTGCAGGTTCATCTTCCCCACGACCCGGTTTGGCGCCGAGAGCCAGTTCAGCGACTTCCTGGACGGGCTGGGGCCGGGGCAGCTGGTGGGGCGGCAGACGCTGGCAACCCCCCCGATGGGTGAGTGCCCGGGCAGGGGGGGGTGCCCACCGGAGCAGGGGCAGCGCCCGGGGATGCTCGGGCCGGAGGGACGGGGCTGCGGAAGGAAAGAGCCCGTGCGCTTCTCCGCGGGGCACCGGGAACCGGCTCCATCCCGGAGGATGCTCTGCCCTTCCCCGGCCGCTCCCGCTGCCGGCCCCGCGCTGGGAGGAGGGAGCGTGCCGGGCTCTGCCCTTTCCCGAGGCTTCCTCTTTCCCTCCGAGCATCCCGCTGGCCGAGGGGAACCGAAGCAACCGCCTCTTGTTCCGTTTCTCCCTCTTAAATCCCGCACGGGGATCCAGGAGATGTCCACGTGGGCATGACTGACCGGAACGGGCAGCTGGAGGTGGATGTGATCCAGGCACGGGGGCTTATCCCGAAGATGGGCTCCAAGTGCATCCCTGGTAGGTGGCTGGGGAGGAAGGGGTTGGGGGATGGACACCATGCAGGGATCATGCCAGGATCCTGCCCCATGTCACTGTTTCCCCTCCCTTTCCCTGGGCAGCCACCTACGTGAAGGTTTACCTGCTGGAGAACGGCGTCTGCCTGGCCAAGAAGAAGACCAAGGTGGTGAAGAAAAGCTGTGACCCGTCCTATCAGCAGCCTCTGCTCTTCGAGGAGAGTCCCCAGGGCAAAGTCCTGCAGGTGACCATTCCCTGGCACTCAGGGATAAGGAGGGATCACAGGATCATGGAATGGGTTGGGTTGGGAGGGACCTTAAAGCCCATCCAGTGCCACCCCCTGCCATGGGCAGGGACACCTTCCACTGGCCCAGGTTGCTCCTTGGGCATTCCCAGGGATGGGGCAGCCACAGCTTCTCTGGGAAACTGTGCCAGGGCCTGCCCACCCTCCCAGGGTGAGGGGAGCAAGGACAGGGCACAGAGCCCCAGTGCCCACCCTGCTGTCCCTCAGACCCCCCCTACCCCGATCCCAGCAGGTCCTCTCCATCCAGGCGTGCTGAGTTTGCCGTGTTTTTCCCGGAATTCCCTCCTGGCAGCTCCCTGACCCGTGTGTGTGCCCGCAGGTGATCGTGTGGGGCGATTACGGGCGCATGGACCACAAGTGCTTCATGGGGATGGCCCAGATCATCCTGGAGGAGCTGGATCTCTCCAGCACCGTGTCGGGCTGGTACAAACTCTTCCCCACGTCCTCGCTGGCCGACTCCAGCATCGGACCTCTGACCCGCCGCCTGTCCCAGTCCTCCCTGGAGAGCTCCACCAGCCCCTCCTGCCCGTAGGGGGGGCAGGTCAGTCAGTGGGAGAGGGGAGGGGGAAGGAGACGCCCTGACCTACCCAAACTGGGCATGGAGAGCTGTAAATATCCTTTTTAGTTCTTTTTTTTTTTTTTTTTTAAATTTTTAATTTTAAAATTCTCCTTCCCCGACCCGAAAACCTGCCCTGGACACGCCCCCTCCCCACGCTCGTGTCCTGGCACAGGGAGGGGATGTGGGAGAGGGAGTGAGGGCCGGGTGTGAGGCAGGGGGGGGAAGGAGGAGCAAAACAAAACCCCCCCACCCTGAGGGCTGCCAATGATCCCAGACTGTTCCCACACCTCGTCCCAGCACCTGGAAGGCCTCGAGGTGCCCAGTTCTCTCCTGGCCCCCGGCAAGAGCAGCTCGGTCTGGTTCAGCAGCAGCGTGACGACGAGGTTCCTTTCCTTCCATCCCCTTTCCTCGCCTCCAAGGAAAAAAGGAGCTTTCCAATGGAAAAAAAAAACAAACCAAACTCAGAAAAAAAAAAAAGAAATCCAACTCAGCACTACTTTTGTTTTCCAAGGAATGTAGCATCTTCTCTTATGTAGCTTGCCACGTGCTAACAACAACACTCACTGCAATATCCGAGAGACTCCGGATGGGCCGGGAACATCTGCCAGTCACGTCCCGTTTGTTCATTTCCCGAGCACTTTTGGTGGCCATTTTTCCTCCCTTTTTTTTTTTCCCTCCCAGTGTTTTGGTTTTTTTTTCCCGGCAGCATGTAGCCTGTGAGCAGTGCCATTGCCAAAGCAGGAGAGGGCAGGGGAAGGGGCACTCTCCTCACCTCATCCCGCTGGTCTTCTCCTCGTGTTCCACCGCGCTGACCGCGGGCTCGTCCGGCCAAAACGAGACCCGAAAGATGAACTCTGTGATGCCTCACGGGGGAATTCCAGTCGGGAGAAGGTGACCCAACGGAGCAGGAACACCAGGACGCCCCTTCCTCCCCTGAGGGCTGGCTGGAGGGCTGAGATGTCCTCCTTGGAGATGGGATGTCCTTCTTAAGGTCTGGATGCCTCCTCCTCCAGGCTGGGATGCTCTCCCTGAGGACTGGGATGCTCTCCTTGAGGTCTGGGATGCTCTCCTTGAGGTCTGGAATGCTCTCCTTGAGGTCCAGGAATGCCCACCTTGAAGTCAGGACGTCCTCCTTGAGGTCTGGGAATGCTCTCCTTGAGGTCCAGGAATACCCACCTTGAAGTTGGGACTCCCTCCTCGAGGTTTGGGAATGCCCACCTGCATGTTGGGATGCTTTCCTCGAGGTCTGGGATGTCGTCCTTGAGGTCTGGGATTCCCTTCTCGAGGTCTGGGATGTCCTGCTCAGGGGTAGGGATGCTCTCCCTGAGGTCTGGGATGTCCTCCTCGGGGTCAGGACGCCCTTCTCGAGAGCTGGAATGCCCTCCTTGAGGTCTGGGATGCTCTCCCCGAGGTCTGGGCTCCCCTCCTGGATACTTGAATTCCAAGCAAGGAGTGGAGGGTTTGCCCAGCCCTGTTCTCCAACTCTGGACTCGCTGCTTTGCTACAGGGGAACATCTCAACAGCAGCTTGTGCTGCTCTGGAATTCGGGTGCCGGAGAGGGGACGGCCGAGGGACTCTCTGGGTTGAGTTTCTCGTCAGGATGAGTGTTTTGGGGTTTTTGTTTGTATGTTTTGTTTGTTTTTTAAAGCAGCATTTCGGTTCCCTCCGAGGGACCCAGTTCTTGTAGCAAACCCGAGAATTACGGAAGCTTTTTTTGAAGGTGCCTAATGAAATTTGCTGAAAATACTCAGGGGAGACACCACTAGAAACTCTGGTTTCTTCGTAAAATGAACCTAATCCAATGACTGTCCTGAAGGATCAGTTCCCAAAAGAGAGGGGGAAAAAAAAAAAACAACAACAAACCCAACACACCAAAAGATGAGCAGTTTGGAGACTGGAAGAGGACAAGAGGTTAACGGGGAATTTTTGCCGACCGGCTGGCTCTGACCTTCAGTCTTCACCACAAACCAACCCACAGCACAGTTGGGATTTTTATACAATCATTTCTTGGCGAAACAGAGAATTCCACAATGCACAGAGCACAACAAACCCACCAGGGTTCTCCAGGAACGATGAACCCGCTCAGCCACAACGGAACAAACCCAAACCTGAGGGGAAAAGACTGTTGGGATGAAGCTGTTCCCTCCACAAACCCCAAACCTGGGGGTCCCCAAACCCAAACCTGAGGGTTCCCAAACCCCAAACCCAAACCCAGGGGTTCACAGACCCAAACCCTGGGGTCCACAGACCCACGTCTGGGGGTCAGCAGGACTCCACTGCGCGGTGGCTGCTTTGCCCAACAGCACCAAACTGAAAGGACATCGTGACAAGGACTTTCAGCTGCTGTCTTGACTTTGCCGACTCGAAATCACCGCAGACCTCTGAGGAAAGAGGAGGCCAGGTGCTGCTGCCCTGGGATGGGGAAAGGTTCATCCTTTCACCTCCCGAAGGACGGAATCCTCTGCCGGAGGAGCCCAGCGCTCGCCCCGATTGCTGGGCTCCTGCTGGATGGCAATGGAAGGAACACGGGATGCACTCGACCCCCAGTTGTTTGGGGAGGCAGACTCAGTGCCCTGACTCCTGAAACGGGCACAAACACTGGTTTGAACGGGATGCTCCTCGCAGAGCACGGAGCAGCTCCACGGGGTCGGCGGCGCCCAGACAAGGCCGAGCTTCCTGTGCCCGGCGCTGGATTTCTGACTGCACATCAGGGAAAGCATCCTAAGAGGAAAAGCTTTCTGCTCCTCCGAGCTGACACTACTTACTTTTGCTTTACCAGCTCTGTTTCGGTGGGAAGACGCCAAACCTGCCCGTGGTGGGGCCGCGGAGCAGCGGCGTGGGCAGAGCAGGCAGCTCTGCAGGGACGTTCTGCTCTTTCTCCTGTGGGCACAGCATCCCACCCTCTCCCTCCCTTGCCAGCTCTGCATTCCTCCAGCAGAGCTTCCCTGCTCCTCTCCCTGCCAGGAACATCACACGCCCATGCTCTGACAGAGAGCAGAGGCGGGTGAGGAGCAGCAGAACATCCCGACCACGCGCCTGAGGTCCAGCAGCAGCCTCGCTGCTTCTGCCCCAGTTACCAAAACCCCGCTGGAAAAACACAGAGGAAAGAACCATCCTCTGGAAGGAACAAGGAAAACCCAAAGACTTTGGCTTCTCTTTGGTCCCTGACACGCTGAGGATGTGCTGGGGGGGTGACTGAACAAACTGTGCCCCGGTTCTCCCTCCCTGCTGGGTTCCTGCTTGCTGCCTCAGGCACTGGTTCCTCCTGCTCCTTGACACCACTTCAAATGACCATCACTTCCTCAGCAGACTGACCAAAATCCAACAAGACCTTCCCTTCCAGTCCTCCCCAAGGAGCTGCCTCTGGGGAAGCACCTGGGTCAGGACCCACCTTGCACTGCTGTGGGAAAACTGAACTGGGGGAACTGTGCCACAGCTACACCAAACCATCAGCTCCTTCTCCCTCCTCAGCCCCTGAGCCCACGTGTCAGATGTTTTCCCTCCTCCAACAACGAGAACAACGAGGCCAGGACACCCCACTGCTTTCCACAGGACACACCAGAAATCCCAAACTCAGCCCTGTGCCAGCCACTGAGAAAATTAACTCTATCCCAGGACAAACCAGAAGCTTCTGCACTCCAGGGGTTTCTCTTTTGCTGAGGGAATATTTTATTGCCAAGGGCATTTTTTTTTTTTAATGTGCAATATGATTTGCAAAAAGTGGTTGCCTCGGTATTATTATGGGTTAGGTTATTTCCTCTACCTCCCATCATGGAAGGAAAGTCAAACCACTTGATTTGGCAGATATTTTTCCCTAGAAAGAATAATTAATATTAAAGGAAATCAGCTTTGCAGCCTGTTTTACACCCAGCCCCCAGCAGTGAGGAGCAGCACCCACCTGACACAGAGCTCTCCCAAGCACTGACAGTGCTGCTGGGGCTGGAATCAAACCCCCACCTGGAGTCACAAGGATGGGTTTCACCAAAATAGCGTTGAAATGGGACTTAAACATCCCCTAAATGCTAATAAAAGTCACACCATGCAGCAAAGCACAGAAAACACTCCTTGACTCCAGGCCTAAGTTATCCCTGTGTTTTCTACCGGCCTGGAATGGGCTGAATTTGCCAAAGTGGAGGGAAAATTTTCGAGGGCAGCAGGAGCTGGGCCCAGAAATCAGCTCCTGTGTCATCATGGCACGCTGAAAGCACAGGGAGAGGATGCTTCAATGTAGTTTTCCTGAAATCCAGTGAGATACAGAAACAATCCCCAGGAATCAGGAAACCGAACCTGCTGCCACAGAGCACCTGAGATGGTGGGAAGAATTCCCTCCACATCCAGCTTGTCCAGCTCTTGCAACCTTTTTTTTCTCCAGAAGCAGTTACAGATGCAGGTTTCAAAGCTAAGAGCAGGAATTCCTGGGGAGTGGGATCAGGATTCCCTTTGCTGACAGGGAATCTCTTCTGTGACACCACAGCTCAAACAGAGGTGAGACTTGGAAAGCGCAGCCTGGACTTGGTGTCTGGGGCAGGAGAAGCCACATTTCACACCCCTTGGCTGGTTCTCCTGGGCTCACAAACCCCCAGCACCAGCCAGAACAGCCTGAGGGTCCTCCCTGATCCGAAATGAGTTCCGAAATCGGCACCAGGGATGTTTTTTCCAGGCAGAAGGAATCCACCTTCTGTTTTCTTCCAGCTTGACGTGACACGCTCGGACAATCCGCAGCTGTCACCTTCCCAAAGGTGTGGGATTGGCCACTGGTTTGGAAAACAGCAGCACTGTCTGTCTCACTGGCTGAGTCCAAAGCCTGAATGTGGTTTGCATCATGGATGGCAGAAGATGGGAAGAGCTCTCCCCGCTTTCCTTCGGGATTTGGTGCCTGCGGATGGATCTGGAGAGTCGCCTGCAGGAACAGCAGGGGTTGCATCCAAAGGCATGAGGGCCCTTCCAGTGCTCCTCTAGCAAAGCTGCTTCAACTGGAAACCTGCCTTCTTCTCCACAGAATCCCAGGATGGGTTGGAAGGGACCTTGAAGGTCATCTCCTTCCACCCCCTGCCCTGGGCAGGGACACCTTCCACCAGCCCAGGTTGCTCCAAGCCCTGTCCAACCTGGCCTTGGACACTTTCCAGGGATGGGGCAGGATTTCTTTTTCACAGAGGAAACCCCCCCCAACTCTCAGCTGGTTGTTGGAGGTGCAAGGATGGTGTTTAGGAGCTAAAAAGAAGGGTGAAAAGCTGCAGGAAAAACTTGTTAGGGGAGAAGAAAAAACAAAAAGGCATCTGCAGCAGCATGGTTGGAATTTTGGGGTGAAGACAATCCTGCTCACCTGAACCCACCTGGGGGAGGATTTAGGGTTTAAAATAGACTCGGAAAGACTTGTCTTACTGTCTGAGGAGCTGCCACAGTGCTGGAGCCCGACCATCCACCTCAGGCACGGACACCAGGACGGGGCACAGACAGCAGGATGGGACACAGACAGCAGGATGGGACACAGACAGCAGGAATCCAGGAGGAACCAGCTGGTGGTCCCACAGCTGCCCCCCAGGCCAGGAGCTGCTGTGCCCCCCGTGCCCGCTGCAGCTCCGGTTGTTGCTATACCTCATTCTTTCATTTGTCCCCTTCCTTCCTTCCCCCTCTTTTTTTTTTTTGTTGTTCCAGACCCAGAGCTTGTGCACTCGACCACATTCAGGTTCTGTTTTGTTGTACCTGTGCAATGAAGAGCAGTCCCAGCCCCGGGCTGTGTATCTCCCACCTGCTCCCACCCTCTGCTCCCCCCGGCGCCCGTGCTGCGGGTCCTGGGCAAGGGCAGCTCGAGCCCAGGGGGTGATTTGAGGGTCAGGGAGGGTTTGGAGGGGCACCCTCCGTGCCCTCCTTTCATCTCTGCTGTCAAACAGCCCCCCTGAGCCCCCCCAGCACCCTCCCAGGGGCTCGGTGGCACAAACCAAGGCCAGCTCTGCTCCCAAATCCCTCCCTGAGCCTGGGGAGGAGGCAGGGAGGGAGGGAGGCAGGGAGGGGTGGAGCACCGATCCCGGTGCCTGGGAGGGTGGCTGTGTGTGTAAATACCCAGATCCCAGCGCTGGCTAAAAAAAAAAAAAAAATACAAAAGGGAATTTTGTCCTGAGCGTGAAGCAATTCCTGACGTGTGGAAGGAGCAGCTCCCCCTCCCCATCCCCACTGGCCAGGGCCCCTGGCAGCGGGTGCCTCGTGAATGTTTAGAGCACTTTGAAGTTGGTGGCCTTGTTTTTCTTAAAGGGCTTGATTTTTTTCGTGCAGTTTAAATGGAATTATCCCCCCTTCCCTTCCCCACCCCCCCATCGTGTCATCCCAATCCCCCACCTCCAATTCCACGCTACCAACAAGCACCTGGATTGTGTAAGACACGATCCAGGACTCAAGAATCTGTCATTAATCCCCAAAGTTTATACCTCAAATAGAAAAAAACAACCCATGGCTTAAGAGCAGCTCTGGGGGGGAGGAAGCAGCAGCTCCAAGTTGGAAGTTTATCCCTGAATTTGGTTCTTGACAGCACCAGGGAAATCAAACCTGCACAAGCACATGGAGAAAAGCACCAAGGGGTTTTTAGGAGCACCCAAAGTGAACCCTGCCAAAAAAATTCCGAATTTATGTTCCCCATTGAGGGGTTTTGTCTGCAATTAACAAACCTGTAAATGCAGCCTATGCCTTCAAACCGTCTCAACCCCCCTAAAAAAGCCTGAGGGGGCATAAAAGGGTCCAAAATTGGAGGTAGGATGAGGGATGAGCTCATTAAAGGCAAGGAGATGCACCCAGAGCTCAGCCTGTCATTCCTAATCCCAGCCCTTCCCCCAGGAGGTGCAGCTGAAAGGAGTTCCTGTGACAGGGGTGCAGCTCAGAGTGACACAAGGACACACAATCCTTCACATTTTCCAGCCTGAAATCCTCCCCCCCCCCCAGAAAAAAAAAAAAAATTGTATTAAGAAGGTTCAGCTGATCCGAGAGAGCCCCACGAGGCTGGGAAGTGCCAGAAGCCAATTAGCCACGGGGTTAATTGCTGCTGCATGGAAAGGTGCCAGGTATGTCCCCACCACACCCCAGGGAACAGGAGAGAGGCAGGAGAACTCCCAGGACTGGCACACTCACCTTGGATACCTTTGGATTTCGGGAGCCAGGATGGAACCAGTGACACCCCCCTGTCCTGTTCCGTGAGAAACTTGGGTTTGATGACAGATTCCTTCTATTTGACAACTCCACCCTTAAAAAAAAAAAAGAATCACCCAGAGAGGGGAACTGGAGGGTCCTTTGAGCCCCAGTTCCACGTCCAAGACAAGGGGATGGGCTTGTGATGGATCCTTGAGAGCGGGAATAGATTTCAAACAAGCAAATGGCAATTTTCTACCCGTGTTCTGTACTGTTTTCTATGTGTGTGGTCTTTCTTAATGTCAAACTCTTGTATTTTTGTGGTTTCTATATATGCAGCAGGACTGATGGCTGTGAGGGTGCACGCTGTTTTGTAAAATATTCCTAGCCAGTTTTCCCCAAAAAAAGAAAAAAAGAAAAAGAGGGGAAAACCTGAATTATTCACATTTTCATTGGCTTGTACCTGCATGTACAGTATTGGGGCAGCAAGTGAAGATGATTAAAGCCAGCTTGAAAACTTTCTTCTGTGCTTTGAGTTGAGCTTTTCAAAACAGTCACCCAACAGATACACTGGGGAGGGAAAAGAAAAAACTCCTTTTTTTTTTTTTTTTTTTCTGGAAAAAGCAGGTTTTGACTCAAGGAAAGAAATACCATAATTAATATGCAGAGTGCCATCAGCTCAAGGCTCCCACGAGGAGCTGAGCTCTCCCTGCAGCTGCACAGCCACCCACAGACCTTCCTGCCTGTGCAGCTTCAGGTGACTCCCAAATCCTACCCAACCTTCCCTAGGGATGGGGAGGGACCTTGGACAAGGGATGGAGGGACAGGACGAGGGGGAATGGCTTCCCAATTCCATCCCTGGAAGTGTCCAAGGCCAGGTTGGAGCAACCTGGGATAGTGGGAGGTGTCCCTGCCCGTGGCAAAGGGGGTGGCATTGGATGATCCTTCAGCTCCCTCCCAACCCCAACCTTTCTATTCCATAATTTTATGATTGTTAAACTTTCTGTGTAACTTTAAAACGCACCTTTGGGCTGAGCCTTGGTCAGGCTTTGTTGAAAAATGAGTGCAAAGCTGAACAATTTAATTCCCCCACTCCAAACCTGAGTCTCTTATATATAAAAGTTTGCACTGACCTGGCTGTGCCCGGGCTGAGCCCCGTTCCTGGAGTGCTGGCAGCTCCTTGGCATTTGGGACACAGCCTTGGAACTGGGCTGGAACACCCCAAAAATCCCCACACCTGGAGTGAACAACTCACCCTGGGAGCACCACTGAAAACACCTGCTGCTTAAAAAGCTGAGAAGCCACGGGGAGATTTCACTGCAATGTTTTATTTGGGAATTTACATATCCACAGGAGAAAGCAGACCACAGTCTGACCTCTTGCTCACGCTGATGACTCGAAGCAGTTTGTGTTCTACTGGAGATGAGAAAAGAAATCTGCCTAAGATTCAAATGTCCAAAGCGAGCCAGGAAAGGGGACTGGGACTACACAGGAACAACAACAACCCAAAAAGAAAAGAACAAAAAAATAATATGAAAAAAGTATAAATTAGGATGTCATAGTCATTTTAAAAGTGTAAGAAAACTTGCAGTGGGGCTCTCAGCCCTGGATAAGTTAACTCTCAGTTAGATTGCTAAAAGTTAAATACATCAAACACCAACATCAGACAGAAAAGCCACTCTGAAGTGCAAGTTTCACATTCCATCGGCCTTGCCCCCACTCCGGGCGAGAATCCTGCTGGCTCAGGGTGGGGAGGGACGGGGGGGCTTCCCAAGGACTTTGGTTCCAATGAGGGTCAGAGAGCTGAGCGCGGCCTCAGCTCCGGAGAACTCGCTCAAGGGAGGAGGTAGCAAGGCTTGCTTGCCCCTGGGCTCGGGTTAGATCCAGTTCCTCAGCACCAAACAAGGTTTCCCACCCCCTCTGCTGACCCCAACCTACTAACACTGGAGCTGGAGTGCCGAGGTCTGACTGCAGCAGGAGGAGCAGAGGAGAGATTCGCCAGCCCCACCTCTGCCCGGGTGCCCAGCAGGACATCAAGTGCTACCCAGAAGCGTCGGTGGAGGTTTTGTGCAAGGAGGGGGATCCACCCCGAAGTGTGCATTGACTGTGCTAGGGACGGGGGAGCTCATGGTTCTGGTCACTGAGGTTTCACCGTGTCTGACAGTGAAAAGGCAGAGATGGGGCTCAGGGGTGGAAGGGGGCCCGGGCTGGGCGGCCCCAAAAAGGAAAAACCCTGAATGTCTCATGGAGCGGGTTTGAAGAACAGAACAGAAGGCAAAAATGGTCACAACGCGAGGGCTCATTTCCACATCGGGGAGCTGAGGGACTGATTGCTGCCCTGGGCTCCTCCTCCTCCCATGGACTGTCCATAGCCCATCACCCCGTTGGCTCCGTAGAAGTTCATCCCGGCCATCTGCTGGGTCATCTGCAAAGGGGAGAGGAGGGAGGTCAGGGAGGTGTCCTGGACGCTGCCAGCCCGAACTCTGGCACCACAGCGTATTTCAGGAGTTCTGAGGAGGAGTTAAGGTGAGCAGGTCTGGGGCTCCCAGGCACGAGAGGACACGGGGTTAGGCTGTGCCAGGGAAGCTGTAGGTCGGACATCAGGAGGAATTTCTTCATGGAAAGAATTGTTAAGCATTGGCAGGGGCTGCCGAGGGAGGTTTGGAGTCCCCAGCCTTGGAGGTGTGCCAGGAAGGACTGGAGGTGGTACTCAGTGCTCTGGGCTGGGGGACAGGGTGGGGATGGGGCACAGGGCGGATCCATGGGCTGGGAGGGCTTTTCCAACCTCAGAGACGCTGGGATTCCCAGGTGTGCCCCCCTCCACGAGCTGAGCCGACGTCCCCCCAGGCACAGCCCCCCAAACCCCGTCCCTCCCTGGGTCCCTGCCCACCCCCAGCAGCCCCCAGGGCCCATCCCAGCCCCTCCCCGCCCTCCCAGCAGTGCCCCCTCACCTGGGCGATGTTCCACTGCAGCTGCTGGGCGGGTTGGACCCCGTAGACGGGCGGTGGCACCGCCGCCATCCCGGCCACGTACCCGCCCTGCTGGGCGCCCAGCACCCCGTTGGGCACGCCCAGCACGGCCGCCTGCACGTTGCCCACGTACCCTGCCGGGATGGCCACGGGGGCCACCATCCCCCCGGCCCCGGGCTGGGCCACCATGCCCACCGACGGGGCCAGCAGGCCCCCCATCATGCTGCTGGACGGGGTGACGCCTGGAAAGCCGGGATACGCCGCGGCGGGATACGCCATCTGAGCCGGGGCCATGAACATCGCGCCTGGGGAGAGGCAGGGGAGGCAGGAGGGAAGAGCTTGATTGTCCTGGAGTGTCCACATCCAGCTGCCAGGACACCCCACTCCCACCCCCAAACCAGTGGTGCCCACCAAGAGCTCAGCCCTGAGGGTACCTTGGGCAGGCAGCTGGGGGGTCTGGGAGCCGTACAGGGACAGGATGGAGTCCTTGGAGAGCTGCTTCTTCCCCACTTCCTCCCCTTTGACTCCAGGCTCGGGGAAGAGGTTCAGGTTTTCGGGGACAGAGCCGGCACTTCCAGAGGTTGGCATGGAGCCAACGACCTGAGAGAGGGACAGGGATGAGTGCAATGTGTGCCCCCAGCCCCAGGAAGGGCACCAGGGGTCGGCCCCCCGGCCCAGCAGCTCCGTGCAGGGACACATGGCAGGACAAGGGCTCGTGGCTTTACCATGAAATGGGGCAAATTTAGACTAAGGAGGGTATTTTAGGAATTAATTCCCACCCCTGGAAGTGTTCAACAAGGCCAGGCTGAACAGGGTTTGGAGCAACCTGCTCTAGTGGAAGGTGTCCCTGCTCACTGAAAGGACGAGATGACCTTTGGGGGTCCTTCCCCCCCCCAGGTTATCCCGTGGTTCCATGACCTAACCCCGAGCACCAGCACTCCCTGCTCACCCTCCTGGAGTCTGAGCTTGATCCCACGGATGCAAAGAGGTCGAGGTCCTTCTCCAGGCTGCTGGGCCTGCCGTTGGTGACGGGGGTTGTCACGGGAGCATCTGGGGGAGACAGAGCTGTGCTGGCTGTGCCCACACGGGCTGGGGGACCCCTCCTTCCCCCCTGCCAAGGTGTCACCCCACCCAGCGACCTGATCCTGCTGCCAGTGCCTCCCTCCTCCCTCTGGGCCACGGGAGGGCTCAGGAAGTGCCCTGTGTGTGCCCCTGTTAACCCCAGAGCAGCCCAGGGCCACGGTGTGTGCATTTCTATCCCACTCCACTATTCCTCTTGTTCTCCTGACAGGGAAAACTGGCACTGAAAGCCCACCAGATTCACAAGATGGTTTATAAAGTCACTTAAAACCAGGGCAAAAGGGCTGGAAAGGCTCTTACCAAGTCCCAGCAAGTCCATTACTGGCTCAGATTTAGGAGAACTTTTTCTAGACTGCTGCATGTCTTCTTTCTTTTGAGGCTGTTGGGGAGGGGGAAAGAACACCACAAGTCTTGATCAGATTTGGGGGTTACTCTGGTATGGCTGAGGCTTTAATGAGATTAACCCTTAAGATCCATCTTTTCCCCCCAGTGGACATAAATGAAAGAAGTGGGAAATGAAAGTGGAATTCTCTTTGCTCTGCCAAAGAGAGAATTTCAGAGTGAATATTATCACTGAGCTGTTTTATTGCCCCAACAGGTTGGGAGCCCACTGTCAAATCCAAGCAGGCTCTAAACCAGGGAGAAGGAGCTGCTAAGGCTGGAAAACTAAGCAGGGAATAGCTGGATTCCAATCTGCTCTGCAGTGCAAGGCAGAGCACATCTGCTTAATATCTGGGTGAGCAGAGGAAAACAAGCTCCCACCAGCAGAGTGACTCAAAGCACCCACTGCTATGACTGAGGGCAGAAAAAATGCTCCCAGAGCCAAGGCTGGATTCCCTCTGCTCTGCCTCAGAGGTGCCTCCACCACTGATCCACCAGCACTCCCCTCTGCTCTTACCATTTTCACCTTCTCAAAGATGATGGGTTCCAGTTTTCTTTCCGATACGGGCTCGTTACTCCTTTTCCACTTGTCATCCTTTTCCTTCTGTGAGGAAAAGCACACAGGTGTGAGGGGGCAAAGCTCAGCACCACACCAGCAGCAAGTTCAGACATGATGCTCTTACTGCTCTGAAAACCCTCAGACTTGAGGTACAGATTCATTTGTCCTGCTCTGAGCAAGGAACTGCACAAAGACCACTCAAAAACCTCCTCCGATTTAAATCCTCCCTCCCTGAGTGGCTGCAACCGGCCCTGGAGGAGGGATTAGTCACCGGCACGGGAGTTATTCCAGCTGTATTTCCACACAGGCACACCCACAGCGACTCCTCCCCAGCCCTGCAGGTGCAGGAGTGCCCAGGGACTGACCCTGAAGGCGCTGATGTCGATGCTCCTGTCCATGTATTTCTTCTTCTCGTATTTATCCCGGATGAAACTCTCCACGGCTCTGCAGCAGCTCGTTAAGGACAGAGGAGTCCAGAATAGAAGCCTTACGTGGTATTATTTGACAAGTAGGTGCAAGGTACAGGCTGTAA